CACTGCTTTAGTTGAGTCATACAACTTTGAGTTGAGTCATGATGAACTTTGGTCATGTTGTGTTTCCATTGCCATTCAGTTTGAAATATTTTTTCCATACAGTGCTCCTAGATAATTGTGTTTTAACACCCAAAGATAATTGAAAAATTGTGTTGAGGTTTAATTATGTCATTGATAGTTATATAACTCATATTAAATTTAAATTATATTAATTTTTGCTTTCCAGATTATAGTTCCCATAAGACATGCCAGTCAAACAAAATGCAGAGGAAGCTTCCATCATCCCTATACCCTCCTTCATCCGCTTGCCCCACTTCTCTCTCATTAGAGTGCGGATGATTAGTGCCCTTACCAATACTGCAGATTCTGAAGTCTGCTAAGAATGCTTTTTTTTGTCCAGCCACCAGTGTATATAATCTATTTTAAATCACTTTTTGGGCAGCAGTTGTCTTTCATAGGCTTGGGCCCTACAGTCTCCCTTTACCTCTGGTTGCATTCCCAGCCCCTCGATCCCACACCATTGCCACCCGACGTGTCCTGCCCAAGACACACACATACACATCCCCGTTTTATCTTCTGTTGTCGGCCTGGGAGAATCTTGCTTATCCCTCAAGTGGCAACATAAATGTCACTTTCTCAAGGAGAGGGAGTGTTTATCACTTCCCTTCTGACTTTCAAAGCATTCTGTTTATGTCTTGGGTAGAGCTGTTAAGACATTTAGTCATAATTCATTTTCTATCTGTTTCTGTCTGTTTCTCCTGCTCCTGAATGGGAGCTCCTAGAAAGTTAGATCATTATGGGTTATTTCTCTTTTACCCTTAGTACCCACACATAATAGCTTCTTAATGAATCATACTGAATTGTTAATGATATTGATAATAACCTTTATTAAATACATTCTGTATGTTAGACACTGTGCTTGACATTTATACATATCATTTCACTTAATCCCCATACGTATCCTGTGTTACAGGGACAATTTTTACCCCTATTTTACAAATTAGAAAATTGAAGTTAAGAGAGGCAAAATAATTTGCCCAGGATAACAAAGCAAGTAAGTGATGAAGTCAAGATTTAAACGCAGGATATCTGACTCCAGAGCTCATTCTCCTTTATACCTATAGGATCAATCCATCAATCAGTTCATCAATCAAATAAATTCTCTAGGAAGTTATCTGCAACTAGGAGATATAGTCTTTATTGAGACCAATCCTAAATGACTAAGAGGAGGATGTGAAAGATACTCTGTCACTAAAAGGATGAGTGAGGTCCCTTGGAGAACGCTTGAGTATTTGAAAAATCTTGTTTGGTCACAAAAAGAAGCTCGAATAAATCTGCTGTGATCACTGGTAGAGTTAGGTTCAGAGAATACAGTGCCTGCAAAAATCACCTTCACACATTGTTTTGGTGAAGAGTGAGTAAGAAGAAGACAAAAGCCATTGTTTGTCTGAAGAATGATGTGGCTCATCAAATGCCAGAACTACCCTTTTACAAAGGAGAAGACCAAGGTCCAGATTAATTAGCTTGTTCAAGGGCACCTAGCTAATAGATAACAGGGCTTGGACTAGAATTCCAATTTCCTGAGTCCCAGTTCAGATCCTTTTGCACCATAGTGTGCTCTATATTAGAGTTTCTGTGTTCATATTTGGAGAAAAAAATGCTAGGCCAAGTCAGAAATGAGTCTTTGAGGGAAACAGCTTGATGCTTTTGGAGCTGGTCAGCTTTTGCCTAAGACCTGCTGCTATTTTGGGCTCTCAGTTTGCTCAGAACTGAATACTGCCAGCCATACAAATAAAAAGGCAAGGCTATTATTTAGGCCTCCTAGGTCTATGCATTCACGTCTCTGCTTGCAAGGGCAAATTATTAGTTCATCTCTGCTGGGCAGTTTGAACGTAGGATTATATTAGCCCTTGTCTTAGCCCTTAGATGTCTACTGGTTTGTCTCTGTAACAATAAATGCGCAAGCCTTGCTTTCAGGTTAGGAGAGAAGAGAAAAGAAGGAACTGTAAATCAGTCTCCACTGATCCCAATTTCTAATGCTGTTTCTTTCTGTTTCTTTCAGGGTGACGAGGAAGGACCCAGGTAAGATCACATTATTGTTGCTTGTCTGTTCTCAGAGTTGAGGTAGAGTGACATTTGTGGCCTTTTAATGCCCCGTGAAATATGGACAGCCAAGGAACAGCACAGAAAAGGGATCTCCATCTTAAGCCAGGGCTTCGAAGATCTTATTTTGTAAGATTCTCATCACCCTCCCTATCTATGCCATTTCCTGTCTGTAACCTTCAGATAAAGGTAGGCTTTAAAGTATGTAATGACAGCAACTTTGCTTTATTCTTTAGCACATTCAGAATATCTTGTTAAGAAGAGTAGGCACTGTATTTGAATGGTAATTAGGTATCAGGCGGACTGACTAGATAAACTTTTGCATTGTTCTTTTTTGATTGGAATTGGATTGCTTTTTTTAATGGACTCTAGATCCAATATTCTTTATTTCTGACCTATAACATGTTTGTATCTGATTCAAGACACCTATGCAGTGAATCCAAGGTCATAGGTATACAAAATTTTGTTTAGAAAAAAAAAGTGTTCCTTTTTGCTTCTGTATCACTGTATGAAATTTAAAAATACATTTTATTATTATTGCCCCTGTCTTGCAGTGAATCTGGACTTTGGTTTACTTAACTTGCTATCATTCTGCTCAGGCAGTGAGAACAGGCCCTAGGAAATGCTATAGCTATGCCATAAACACAGTTGAGGGGCATTTGTACCAAGCAAAATGTATGTCCGGATGGGTTCCCTGTCACTTAGGACACAGGACTGTGTAGACTGGGAGGTACCAGAAAGGTCTTCCAGGCCACTGCTATTTAAACTTCAGTTTTACTAGAAACGTCCTTTTTTCAAATGGGCTTTAAGTAGAACTCCAGTGTATACAAAACATTTTTTTTCTGGTTAAAGTCGGGGGCTACATCTACTGGTGAAATTTCTCACTTCCTTTCAATAGACCTGAGGGACTGCTGCAGAAACTTCGGGTTCCTCAGAACTCAGCTTGAAAATCACTTACCTAATTCAAGTTTCTCATTGAAAGACGCTTAACAAATTGTCCTAAAGTTACCTTACTGGAGCCAGGATTCAGCCGTTGTTTAGTTTTATTTACAAATCAACAAATATGGTTCTTTCTTTTTCCTTTCTCTCTCCCCACATCCTGAGCCCCTTTCTTAGTGCCAAGCATTGATCCACATCTGCATCGCCTGCTGCTTCCCTCCCTTGGGAACTGTGGTTCTCAGCCTAAATCTGGTTCCTTGTCATTTGTGGCTAAAGCTACAGGCACCCTACTTTAAACCTACAGAGCTTCAGGGAGTCCCTTCAAACTCCGTATTCCAGCCATCCTCAGGCTCCCTCTGTGTTGTGGTTCATTTCTTTCCTCTCTCCCTCCCTCCCTTCCTTTCTCATGACCCTCCTGTGTGTCAGGCTCTGTGCTATGCACGGGGTATATAATGATAACTAAGACAGATATGGTCCCTGCCCTTGTGGATGCTAAGTCTAGTAGAAGAGATAAGCAATTAACTGGGTACTTATACTTTGGGGGATATGCTATGATTAAGTGAAGTTTAGTCTGCTTTAGGGAGAGCTCCTAAGTCGGTCTTGGAAGATAAGAGGAGGCTTACCGGAAAGGTTATGTATAAATGAAGGTCTGAAGGGTTAGAAGGCAGGCAAAGCAGGGGCAGGGATAGGGCTGTTCTAGGTAGAGGGAGCAGCTTGTGTAATAGCTCCAGGCAAGAGGAGAGTGGAGGAAAGAAAGCAGAGTCCAGATCATTTAGCGCCTTACAGGCCTCCTTAAGGTATTTGAGCTCTCTGAATTATTTCCTTGGCACTCCACCTCTTCTACTTTTCAAAACTAGCTCTGGCTTCTTAAAATCCAGACCAAACAGAGCCCTAGACCTTTTATTCCCCAGAAAGAGATTTCAAATAAGACCAATAAAAGAAAAACCCCTTAGTGCAGGTATAATGTGCAAACTCCACAGGATAGAAATGGCATTTCTGTCTTGGGAGAGCCTGACTAGGATAGATGCATTCATCTTGTCTCTGTGGCCACATGCCAGAGTCAGGTTGATTAGAAGAATACAGGGACCTTACGAAGAGATTAGCTCCCTTCAAAGATACTATTTAGTGTGAGGTACTGGCTTTAGAGTTGAATTGCAGATTCCTTCATGTCATTTTGACAAGACAGTGGTGAAGCATGGGGTTTCTTTACTAGCAACCAAGATGTCAAGCTGTCTTCCTAGAGCCAGGCTGCCATGGATGTCAGTAAGGATGCTGTTGGACTGGAACTTGAGAGAACCCTTTTTTGGTACAATGAGCACTTGAAAAGCATGCTCCAATCTGGCAGAAAGAGGAAAGATGAGTCAAATTTTCCTTTTACCCTTTAAATTCATACTTACTGGTTCCATTCAGTTTGTGTTGAACTACCACTTGGCTCAGTTTATTTCAGTTAACACTTTGGGGCAGATTGCCTTTGATCTGAAATTTCTCTCATTTATGATATACACTTTACCATCTGAGTAGGCCAGAGTTTGTTCCAAAGGCTTCTGTATTACTGACAGTGTTAAATGAGCATTTGACATGTAAGGGAGAGAGACAGAAGCATGGGTCTGCCTGCACAGGGCATGGAAGAGGAATGATTCTGGAGACCCTGTATACCAGATCTACTTGGATTTTCAAACCTGTGTCTCCTTCGCTAGCGTTCTTTTCACACTATCTGCACAGAAGTCCAGGGAGAATTGGATTCCAACCACCCTCCGTAGTGGTAGGAACAAAGGAAAATTCCTATCCTTTTGAAACATGTTTGTCTGTAATAGATCTGTGTTCTCCTGCATTCCTACCAGCTAGAGTCTCCCTGCTTCTTTTTTCATTCAGTTTTGACTTTCCAAGCTGTTTGACATGTGGCCAACTGTTTGTGCTTTTGGTTATGTCTCTTCCTTGTTCTGAATTTTAATGTGTAGTTATCCTGCTAATTTACAACAATAATAATCATAGCTACCATTTATTGAAGGTTTACTGTGTACAGTGTTCTATATATACTCTCATTTAACCCTCATGTAAACCTTATGATGCAGTATTATCCCACCTGTAAAATGAGGAAACGAATGCTCAGCAGGATTAACTTGTCCTCCATCACACAGCTGGTGGTAGCAGAGCTAGGGCTTACATCTAGTCTGGCTTCAGAGCTCATGTCCTCAGCCACCATTCGGACTGTCTCCACGCGGCCAGTGCACTTGTCTCCATGCCCTGGAATGAAAGACAGGAGGATTCATGCACACGCCTCAGAGGATCACTTTGGTCTTGTTCCTCTAACCTCAGAGTTCTTACTTGCTCTCACACTGAAATGCTGTGGTGTCTCTTTTCTACAAGCTACTTCTCCTCTCCTTAGCCTCTGTCATTCTAAGGGGATATTTCTTCGTCTCATTTTCACATAATGTCATCTGAGGGTTAGCAGCAAAAGGGGTGGCTTTTAGACTCCCTGGGGAGCTGGCAACCAAGCCTTCCTTTGACCCTGCAGAATTAGCTGCCTATCACCCCTCCACCCAGGAGTTTACTCTTTAAATCCATGATACAGTCATACAGATGACGAGGATTCTTAGAGGGCGGAGGAACTAAATCTTAATATGTAGAACATGGATATTAACCACTGTAGAGTCATCTTTGAAGAGGGTGTCTTTGAAGCTCAGAGTGATTTTTTTTTGAAGCAAAAAAAAAAAAAGCAATTTACACCTTTGGCAGCAATTTTCTGACTTCTGTATGCTATTATGGGAGATCTTGTGTTTGCTCCTTCACAGATTGGCTCCTTCCCTACTCCTGCTGGAGCCTGCTGAGAAGTAATATATATTCAAGGAAGAGGGGTGGCAGTGGGGTCTGCTGCCTTGAAGGCTGTTGTATAGTGGAAGGAAGCCAGAGAGTGAAGGGCCCTTAAACTCTTGTGCTCAGAGGAGAAAGGAGCGAGATCAATATTAAATTTTGATTTGCTATTGAGATTTTCTGTGATTTTGTTGAAACTAAGAGGAAAATGGCTTTTTAATAGTAACAGCCATACTTAGGACTTCTGTAGAATTTTTCATCTTCAGAGCTGGCTCTTATTCAGGCAAAAAGCTCCTGCTGAGATCAATGTGACTCTGACCCATGCCGATGCTGTGATCAAACAGGCAGTTGAGTTCTGAAGGAGTAGGCTCTCAGGGAGAGTCGGCAGACCTACCTCCTATTCTTGGTCGGCCTGGGATGACTGTGTGACCTTGGGCAAGTCATTTAACCTCTTTGCCTCTTTGTAGTCTGTTTTTATTTGCCTGTAAATACTAGCTTTTCTTTCCCCCACTTCCCACTCAGTTTTTTTGAGATACAGTTGTGTGGAGGAGTACAACTTATATTAAAAGTGGAATGAAAAGAATCTGTTTATAGATTCTGTAATTTGGTAGATTTTTTTCCTACTCTTCTCAATTTTGTTTCTTTAAAAATTTTCTTGGGGCTGTATACTGGGTACTACCCCCCCCCAAATAATAACCATTTGTTCTTAGATACGGCATTTCTCTTCCTGATGACTTAGTTTGTAGAGATAAGAGGGATACTAAGTCAGTGATTGTCCTCTGATTGCAAGTTTATGGTTTGGTTTTTACATTATCTTCATTTCAGAAGACCTAGCTGGAAGCCAAAGAAAATGGCTGATACTTGTGACATGGAGTAGAACTATCAGGAAGTGGGATTCTGGCATATAAGTTGACCTTCAGCGCAGAGTCTCTTAACTGTCATGTTTTCCTCTTATGGAGCCTGAGCTGACTTTGTTTCCCCCTGCTGATGTGGACTGTTTATCCTCTACTCACCCAGATTAAGGATGAAGCCATGCTATGCACTATATTGCCTATCTATAGTAGAAGCAAGCCTTCTTTCTAAAGTAATTGATTTTCAGATATTTACCTGTGAGAGTTGCAACTTTATGTTATTTTGTGCATATTGGTCTATAGAGAATCCATTCACAGCTGGAAAATTCAGCAGGAACCTCTAGCTTATTCCATCTGCCTCACATTTGGAAATGCTGG